CACCACTTCCGGCTTTTTTCTTTTTGCTTATGTGGTGCTGAGGAATCGAACCCAGGGCCTCAGGCATGCAAGGCAAGTGCTCTACCACTGAGCCATCTTCCCAGCCCATGACGTGGAGGTTTTAACAGTTATCTGCTTCCTAGAACTTCTTTTTTTTTCTTTCAACCTACTCGAGGTGGGATGCCCGGACAACGGTGGCTGGCTGAAGACACCTTAGGAAATGTGCATTGGTGTGACTCCTTATGAATACAGAAGCAGAGTTGGATGCCAGTGGCTTATGCTTGTATTCCTAGCTGACTCAGGAGGCTGAGATCTGAGGGTTATGGTTCAAAGCTAGCCTGGATAGGAAAATCTGTGGGAGTCTTATCTCCCATAAACCACCAAAAAGCTGGATATGGGGGTATGGTTCAAGTAGTAGAGCATCAGCCTTGACCCCTCCAAAAACCAAAAAAACAAAAGCTAAGGGACAAATGTCCAGGCCATGAATTTCAAGTCTAAGTACTGGCGTGCGCATGCACACACACATGCACAAATAAATACATAAACAAGCTCAATGGGGGAAAACCAGATCTCTGAATCCAATGTTACTTCTATTTTACAAGGCTATTCCTGGGCTTTTGGAGCTAGTATAAAGGGAAGGCCAGAGGAGGAAACCACAGAAAAAGAGGAGAAATTTCTCTATCTCTTCAGATAACTTGCAGTGGAAAGCATTTGGTGATTAGGGCTCAAATCCCCCTTTTATAAAAGACCCACTGTATAGAGCCGCGAATGCTAGAGGACTCTTTCACAATACACGTTTATTGACTTGCACCTCACATGGAAAGTACACCTCATAATTTCTGTGGATTCTTTCAACTGGGGTTTTATGGCAAGAAGGAAATGTTAGCCCCAACCATTCCTGTGCTGTTTGTTCAGGAGTCTGTGGGACCACAGTTCCGGTTTTTAACATATTTGTTAAGCAAGTGGAACTGATAAGCTTGTTAAAACATTCAGCTCCAAACAGAACAAAATAAACACACAAGGTGCTATCTAATCGACATTGCTGCTACTTTTCTTCTTTCTTTTCCTTTTTTTTTGGGGGGGGGCTATCCTGGGACTTGAACCCAGGCCTAGGTACTGTTTCTGAGATTTTTTTGTTCGAGGTTAGTGCTACACTTCTGTTTTTGGAGATAAGAGTCTCTCACAGGGACTTTTCTGCTCAGGCTGGCTTCAAACCTGGATCCTCAAATCTCAGCCTCCTGAGTAGCTAGGATGACAGGTGTAAGCTAGCAGCACCCAGCTATCCATGAACTTTTTAGCTCAAGGCTAGCACTCTACCATTTAAACCACATCTCCATTTCTGGCCTTTTGGTGGTTAATTGGAGATAAGAATCTTAAGGCCTTGTTTTGCCCTGGCTGGATTTGAACCAGGATCCTCAGATCTCAGCCTGTGGAGGAGCTGGGATTGTAGACATGAGTCACTGGCACCTGGCACCCATTTCTTTCTTCTCTGTCTGGAAGCTGGAATAAAGGTAAAGGGGTTGGCTTCGTCTATATGGAGAGGACCTAGTTAGACCTGATCATTTTGGGGTTCAGTTGGGGAATCAATTCCTACTGAATATTGGGAATCCATGGAAAAATTAATAATCAAATAACTCACATTGAGAACTGGCATTATTCTCACTAAATCCTGAAGACAATGACGGTTGGCCAAAGTCAGTACTTGAGGGTCTGAGTAAAATTTGCTTGTGGCATAGAAATGGCTACCACAAGTTAGATCTAAACTAGAAGTCATATATAAAAACATATACAGGGGGCTGGGAAGGTGGCTCAGGGGAAGAGTGCTTGCCTCGCATGCATGAGGCCCTGGGTTCGATTCCTTAGTACCACATAAGCAGAAAAAGCCAGAACTGGCTCTGTGGCTCAAGTGGTAGAGTTTTAGCCTTGAGCCCAAGCAGCTCAGGGACAGTGCCCAGGCCCTGAGTTCAAGCCCCAGGACTGGCAAATGAAACACACACACACACACACACACACACACACACACACACACACACACACTGACTAAAGTAGGGTATACACAGGGGAGAATGCAATAATGTAACTCCTTCAAAAAACCATAACTTACAGTTTACCTAAAGGAATACCAGGAAGCTGGAACATGGGTTGTGGGGAGGGAGGCTTGGGGGTGGGGGCAGGTGAATGGAAGAAGGAAGGGTGGGGGCTGGGAAGGTGGCTCAGTGGTAGAGTGCTTGCCTTGCATGCCTGAGGCCCTGGGTTCGATTCCTCAGCACCACATAAGCAAAAAGAAAAAA